CCTTGTGATGTGTGTGCCTATGGAAAACAAAAGCATCTCCCTTTTCAATCCAGCATCACTAAATCAACATAATTTTTTGAATTTATTCACGTGGACATATGAGGACCACTTTTCATAACCTCACTTGATGAATACAAATACTTTCTAACTATAGTTGATGACTATAGCATATTTTCTTGGATTCTTTTTCTTAAAACCAAAGCTGAAGTTAAAAACTCTCTTCAAAATTTTATTTTACTAACTGAAAATCAGTTTTCTTGCAAGTTAAAGAAAGTAAGATCAGACAATGGCAAATAATTCATTTTACTCGACTTTTATTCTTCTAAAGGCATTATTCATGAAACCTCTTGTGTGGCTACCCGTCAATAAAATGGCATTGTTCAGAGGAAACACCAACATCTTTTAAATGTTTGTAGAACTCTTCTTTTTCAAGCACATATGCCTCCAATATTCTGGTCTTACTCTCTTAAACTTGTTGTTCATATCATAAATCGTTTACCCACACCGTTTTTGCAAAATAAAACCTCCATATGAACTTGTTCATTCTACTAAACCATATTTTTCTAATCTAAAGGTTTTTGGTTGTTTATCATATGCTAGTACCAATCTTGTTGGTCGAACAAAGTTGGATCCCAAAAGTACAAGATGTGTCTTTCTTGGATATAAATTTGGAACCAAGGGTTATCTTTTATATGATATTCACTCAAAATCTGTTTTTGTTTCTAGAAATGTTATTTTTCATGAAACCATCTTTCCATACACTTTTATAACAACAAGCCTAATTCTACTTGTTTTGATACTTCTGTTTCATCCCAATATAACAGCTTGTTTGATCTTGATGTCCCTATTTCATCTGACATAGTTTCCTCTCCTACTTCTATCACATCTGATATTGTTTCTGACAGTTCTGAGATTACTGCCCCTAATATCCGTACTTCTACATGGATAAAAAACAAACCAAGTCACTTAAAACATTACTATTGTGGTTCTGCTTCTCATTTGCTTTCTTCTTTCTCTACCCCTTATCCCATACATAATTTTGTTTCTTATGAAAAATGCTCATCTAACCACATTTCTTTTTGCAACAATATTTCCGCTCAATCTAAGCCTTTTTCCTTCAAAGAAGCTGCTCAAAGTGAGTGTTGGACTAAAGCCATGGATGTTGAGCTATTTGCTCTCAACAAAAACCATAGCTGGACATTTGTACTTCCTCCTCTTGGTAAGAAACCCATTGGTTATAGATGGGTCTATAGAATCAAACACAAACCAGATGGTTCGATTGATAGATACAAGGCTCGGTTAGTAGTTAAGGGTTTTACCCAAACTGAAAGTGTAGATTATTTTGAGACTTTTTCTCCAGTCGTAAAGCTAACTTTTGTACGCATCATTCTTGTGCTGGCTGCTACTAAAAATTGATCTATCCACCAACTTGACTTTGACAATGTCTTCCCTCACGATGATTTGAACGAAGAAGTATACATGAAGTCCCCCTCCTGGATTATCTCTTCACAACCCAAATATGTTTGCAAGCTTCACAAATCCTTATATGGTCTCAGACAAGCAAGTAAAAATTGGAATCACAAGCTCACTACTGCTCTTCTCACTCTCGGATACTCTCAAAGTAGTGTTGACCATTCCTTTTTGTCAAAATCACATCTTCTTCCATTATGTTGTTATTGATTTATGTTGATGACGTGCTTCTTAGTTGCAATACATTATCTGAAATACAACTTGCCAAAACTCACCTTTATGACTTTTTTTTCTTATTATTATTATTTGTATAAGAGTAGCAGGTAAAAAAAATATTACATATATGTAAAAGTAATTTACATCACTATATATATATATATATATATATATATATATATATATATATAAGATATACAAAATAAGAAGGAATTTTATTTTTTATTCCTTCTATTTTTCTACAATTTTACAAATATCTACATTGCCGGTGGAAACAAACTGATTAAGGAGTTTTGGAAAAAGGTAGGAGGCATACAAAAGGTAACCACTACTTGGTCAATCTAACATAATGAAATTTCCCATATCAGATAAAAATGTTATTATTGATAATCCTGCCCTTCTAAAAATAACCGAGTTGTCTATAACGTTCGTGTTCTAAGTAGTTACTTGGAAAGAAGGCAGTGATGCTTGCAGAAAATGGATTTGAAATATTTGACGCATCCATCTACTTAAGTTGGTGTTTAAATAAAACATGCACAAAATATCACAATACGAAGTGAGAACATTTATCATTTACAATAATACAATCTTATAATATATAGATATATATGTTTCAACTTCCTCAACACATTCTATTTTATGAAGATTTAAATTAAATTTGTAGTGACTATTCAGGATAAATGAGCCCAATTTTAATCACTCTCACAGTGATATTTACTCATTTAAATCCCCAAGGTCCAACCTCCATCTACAATATCATCAAATCTTCACAAATAGATATTATTATAATTAAATAATATAACTATAAATTAATAAATAGGATCGCTGCATTACTAGAGATAAAATAAATTAAACAAACAGGACCGAGTACATAACCTGGAGATAATTAAAATAGGACCAATGCAAGATCGAAGATAAAATAAACAAGCATAAGGCATGACCATTACATAGTTAAAGATAAATAAACAAATAACTAAATAAATAGAATGAGGTTAGGGACACCTCACTCCACAACTATAAGCAAAATAAAATAGATTTAATAATAATATTCTTCTCCCCTACCGTAAGAACTGCAGATGATGTACCCAAATTTTACAGAGATGACTTGTCTTTCTCTGCTTGTCTTCCTCTCCCTTTCGTTCTTTCTCCCTTTCTTTCCCTCTCTCTTTCTCTCCCTCTCTCTTCTTCCTCTCCCTCTCTTCTTCTCTCTGTTTTTTTTTTCTTCTTCTTCCTTTCTCCCTCCTGTAACCCTTATTTATAATCATAAATAAATAATTTTTTTTACTTGCATTTAATGCAAGAGACAGGATAAGATTTTTTATTACTTTTTATTTATTATTTTAATCATTATCTCTTAAAGAGATAAAATAATGTTTATCTTTTACATTAATTTGAGATGTTACAATCTTCATGCTCAGTTCGAAATCAAAGATTTGGGTCCTCTTAAGTATTTTCTTGGGTTTGAAGTTCTTTAGTCCTCTGCTGGTCTCCTCATTAATCAACGAAAATATTGTTTAGACCTTATCTCTGAAGCAAGGTCTCCTTGTTTGCAAGCCTGCATCTACTCCATCCGATCCTTCAGTGAAGTTACATGTTGATGAAGGCGCTCTTTTACCTGATCCTTCCTTTTATCGTCGTATCATTGGTAGATTACTTTATCTGACTCATACACGGCCTGATATTTCTTTTGTTGTCCAACAACTTAGTCAATTGATTTCCTCACCCTGTGAGCCTCATATGAAACAAGTTATTCGTATTCTAAGGTTTTTAAAGAATACTCTTAGTCTTGGTTTTCTCTATAAATCTGCCACTGATTTGAAACTTCAAGCATACTCTAATTTTAATTGGGCTTCCTACATTACCACCCGTCGTTCTGTCTCTTGTTTCTGCATTTTTCTTGGAACTTTTTTAATCTCTTGGAAATCCAAGAAACAAACCACGATTTCAAGATTTTATTCGGAGGTTGAAAATTGTGCCTTAGCTTTCCTTACTTGCGAGTTACAATGGCTAAACAACATCTTTCAAGATCTTCATCTTTTCCTTCAAACACCTTATACCATCTTCTGTGATAGCAGCTCTGTCATTCAAATAACAAAAAAACTTACCTTTCATGAAAGAACTAAGCATGTGCAGATTGACTATCATCTCATTTGACAGAAGCTCTTAGATGATCTCATTCATCTTCTTCATATTCCTTTAGTCAATCAGCTTGTTGATGTCTTCACAAAGTCTTTTTATCATTCTCCTTTTTATGTTGTCACTTCCAAGCTTGACTTCCACAATCCTTATGTCCAACTTGAGGAGAACTAACAGAGATTTTAGTTTTTTATATCTCTTTTTTTTTATATATATATAGTTACGGTTAGTTTCCTTAACTTTGATACTATATATATTCAAGGTTTCTTTTTACTATAAATTAGTATAAATGAAATAAACTACTATGAACTTCTCAATTTTTCTCTTCTCTTTTCTTATTCACTCATAATTTTATATAATAAAGAGTTTATTTTCATTATATTCTACAATAAACAAACGTGGATAAACACTACGCTACGAATTCTTTTATATATATATATATATATAAAACGGGTTTGATTAATAGTATATAACATGGAAATATGCAGTTAGCCACCTACACTAGAAGAGTAAAAAAAGTGAAAGCTGCCCAAATGTTTATCGGACTCAGTTTTCCACAATTTTTAAACAGTCTTCTTCCATCCAACAAAGTTTAAAGGTACAAACTTCAATGTACTACTTTCTAATTCCTCTTATCATAATAATATTGCTCCAGGATGAATTATGAAAAAAAATATATAATTATATAAAAATTATTAAATGATATAATAGTTGATAAAATTACATAATTTTTCTTTTGAATTTTTAGTTTTCATCGAATTGAATTTTAAATTTTTATCAAGTTATAAATAGTAATTTCAAAATGAATTAGATCACTCCAATTTTAATTTTTAAAGAAGAGAGGACTTTGTTAATAATTTTTTTATATAAAATATTTTTATATGTATTTTTTTAAATATATATTTAATTATATTTGTATTATTAATTAGTATATTATATTTATGTACTAAAATAATTATTTATGATTAATAATTTAAATTTAATTAATTAATTTTTATAATTTAAATTATATTATTATAATATATTTATATAATTAATAACATAATAAAAATATATAATATTTTTAATTATAATTTTTTATTTTATTTAATATATAAATATATTTTTAAAACAGAGATGACCCTCTTCACTCGTAAATTATTAATTTCTGGCACCATATCTTAAGTTAACAGAGAGGCTTAGTCATCTAATCTAACCCGTTTTGTGGATGGAATTGCAAGTGGCCACTACATCTATGAATGAATGGTTTTTGAAAACATAAAATTTGATGGTACAGTAGGAGGCAGATAATAGTGAAGCATATATTGGGGAAAGAAACTTTAGTCGTAATCAGTCTCAAAAGTGATTAATGAAAAGATAGAAAGGAAAGGGTAGAATTTGAAAGAAGCCAAAATCCTTAGCAGGCACGAAGTCAGACCGCACAAACGTGTGCAATTGGGAGGGTGTGAAGGATCACAAAAGAACAAGAAAAGGTAGCTTCCATATATGCTTTTAATCCTAAATCTACAATTTGCAAAAGATTGATTCTCCTTTTCTTCATGTTTTCCTACTTTATCTAACAAATACGGATTATTTGACCAATCTATCACAATCCCATTCTAGTTTGATTTCTCACATGCTCAACTCAATGCATAAATTTAGAGATTCACTCTTTCTTTTTCACTTCAATTCCATTCTAAAATGATGTGTTTAATTTATTGTGTGATTTTTTTTAAAATGAGATACTTAAGTTTATTCTTTTACCTAATCAACTCTAAATAGTTGAATATTATAATTATAAATATGTTTAGAGTTAATATTTTCAACAATATCCCAATATTTAAGTATAATTTAAGATATTCGAATATCATCTTATCTCAAAATATAAAAAATCATCATTAAATATTCATTATATATATCCTAAAATATAATTATCTTTATTTCATTTGTTTATTAATTAGTATATACACTCAAATTAGATTCAAGTTATTAATAAAGTTAAGATATTTTTTAAAATCTTAATATTAATAATCATACACACTATATTTCACATATAAAAAGACACATTAAAATCTTTCATATTATAATCCAATATTTTTCAATAATATATATAATAGTATTAACATATATCATTTTATGTTTATAATATATAATCTCAAGTCATATACTAAAAAATAAAAAATAACTTAATTTATATTCTTAATTTCTTATATTTTTAAGCCTTTAAATATAATAGATTTTTAGTTTAAATCAAAAATCTTTTCAAAATCCTAATTAACAAATTAAGGATATCATATTTTTCTTTTTTAACTAATCAAAATTATGTTTGTTTAATAAATTTTAAATACAAACACCTGGACTCATATGCATCTATTGTTAATAAAATATTAATAACAGAATTTTTCTAAGAGGGGTGAATTGAATTTTTTTAAAAACTTTTGAATTTCTAATCAATTATTTAAATAACTTTTTCAGATCATCAATTATGAAAGAATTATCACATGTTATAGAAAAATAAGTATATCAAGATAGAGAGAAGAAGAAAAGATACACAAATTTATATTGTTTTGATTCTTGTTGAATCTACATCTAGTTTTAACCAAACAACCTTAGTCTTGAGTTTTTCACTTAATAGCAGATTTACAATCTAATAAATTGATCTTGATTTTACACCACTGTATAATCAAAAACACATTTCTTGAAAATGTTTTACCTCACAATTTTCAAGTTAAGCAAACGTAGTTAGTCTCACATACATCAAAACTTAAAAACAAGATACAAAAGAAAGAGATGGAACGACATCTTGGATTTACAAAATTATGCACATGTAGTCAAACAACCTTTATTTGAAATTAAACTTCAAAATCTTTTGCAAAATTATATTCTTTCCTTGATGTCCAAAACGTTCTTTCTAATTAATTTTGTTTGTATTTGAAAATTGATATTGATTAAGGAAAATTTGTATCCTTTTATAAAAAAAAAAACGTTGTAACGTCCACATAATCAATTAGCATATTTATCTAATCGATTAGTTGAGTGTAGTGGTAATTTAAAAATAGTCAGATAATCAATTAGGTGTTTACATAATCAATTATTAGCGCATTGTGTTAAACAAGATTTTTGACAAATAATTGATTAAACAACCACATAATCGATTATTAGTGCGTCTTATGAAAACTAAATTTTAAGTTATATAATTGATTAACCCTTTATCTAATCGATTATTAGCGCATTATGTTAAAACAAAATTTTTGACAAATAATCGATTAAGTGACTACGTAATCGATTATTAACGCATTTTATGAAAACTTAATTTTAAATCATATAATTGATTATTCTTTTTTCTAATCGATTATTAACACGTTTTAATATATTTGATTATTCAAAGTTTCACTTGTTTAACTTTATACAAATTAATTATCCTAATTACATTGACATCATCAAAAGGATAATTCCTAGTTTATCTTCTTTCTTCATCAACAACCATAATTCCAAAATATTCAAAATTAAAAAAAAAATCTAATTAAATGATCATACAAAAATATTCTCTTATATTCCACAAATCTTAAGAAGTAGACTTAAAACAAATATTAAAAAAATGAGAAAATTATTAAAAAGGATTAAAAATTAACTACAAACAAATTATTTCATGAGAATAAAATTTAAATAACTAATTAATAAATAAATATACTTATATTTCATTAACAATTAGTCATTTTCCTTCTCAATCTTTTGGAATGCTCTTGCTCACTTCCTTGAGTTTTTTAACCCTCATGTGAAATGATATTAACAAAAAGCGCTAATATTTTTTTATTGTCTAACAAAAGTTTAGTTCAATTCATTTAAACATTCTTATCCAATAATACATTAAAAAAAAAACCAACGATTTAAAATGAAATAATTCAAAACCAAAATTTAATTTTCCTACCAGTTAAGAAATTATTTTTCTAAAAACAAGAAAATATTTGTTATATCAATATTCAATAAATATAATTTGATCAGAATAATTACATGGATTGTCCATCTTATATATTAATTTTGATAATATCATATAGGTTAATAATAAATATATTAACAGAATAGTTATTATCAAAATAAATTCATTTATTTACTAAATGTTAAATATGAAAAAACCAGATTCGAGACTGTAATTTTGAAGTTACAAAAACTTATTTAATTATAAAAAAATAAAAAAATATAAACATACCGAAATATTCACCAAAATAATAGAGGACAGCGTAGGCATCCCACACGCAGGCTGGAGTCGCGTGGTAATCTAACAGCAAATGAAGAGACACACATACACACACTTTGACAAAAAGCCAAAGGCAAAAACCAAACAACAAATTCATTGCCACCATAATAAATAAAAAAATAAATAAATCCAACCACACCCCATTCATTTTCTTTCACACCACACCATTTAATAAACCACACTTTTTATTTCCATCAATTAATAAATAAAAAAATTAAAAAAATTAACTCTGGGAGCCTTCATTTCATTTGTTTCTCTCTCAGCAATTGTACCTGCCAAGTACGCTTACCTGTACCTCCCAGACTTCTCGCATCATCACCTTTCCATTCTCTACACTCTCTCTTCTTACAATCCCCATCCCACCCTTCACCCACATATATATACCCTCTCTCACACACACTCTTCTTCCATCCTTAACCACTCCAACCACAACCTCAACCTCAACGACCAACAAACACACCCACAACAAAACAACAACATCTTTCTTTCTTCCTCAAACACACACTACACACCTCTTCAACACTTTCTTTTTCTGAGATGAAGCACTTGATCCGTCGCCTCTCGCGCGTAGCCGACTCCTCCAATTACACGCTCCTCCGCTCCGACTCCACCTCCTCCACCTCGCGCAGCTGCCGGCGGCGCCAACGGGCCGACTCCTTGCGCCTCGCCAAGATCCGCCGCTCCTCCGCGGTGGTGCCGGAGGGGCACGTGCCGATCTACGTCGGCGACGAGATGGAGCGGTTCGTGGTCTGCGCCGAACTCCTCAACCACCCTGTCTTTGTCAAACTACTCAACGAATCCGCGCAGGAATACGGCTACGAACAGCAAGGCGTGCTCCGCTTGCCGTGCCGCGTCTTCGACTTCGAACGCGTGCTCCACGCGCTCCGCCTCGGCCTCGACGCGCGTGACGTCGCCCAGCTAGTTAACTTCTCGCCGGAAGAATTCTCCTGAAAAAGAAAACTAGCTCGGTGAATTGGCCATGGCTGGATCTTTTGCTGGTTTTGTTGCGCTGTATATACACATTAGGATCTTGAGAAAAAAAAAAAGAGGCACAGAAATTTAGGGTTTGTGATTTTTTTTTTTTTCCTTTGGTTCTGTATCTTCTGGTTGTTGATGTTGTTGTTGTTCTGTCACTGTAAAGGCGAAGATATTTTTCACGCTATTGTTTGCGACCGGAGAATGAGAATCATCACTTTTGAATTTTTCTTTGCTTTCTTTCATCGTCACTTTCTCGGGAAACAGACGGAAAGAGAAAAACTGTGACTTTTTTTTACAGTCCTGGATGTTAACCGTTTGAATTTCTTTGTAATTAAAAAATAAAATGGAAATAAACTGAAGTTCAGTTTTATTTGTCTGTGATTTTAATGATGGTGAGTGTGGAGGAAGAAAGAAAGTAAAGGTTACTGGGCCGAATTGGGACTTTGATCTGCAGTTATGTTGTTCAGTTATTATCCTTTTTTAAGAATAACGAATTTTTTAGAAGAATTTGAATTGCATTTTTCTCCTGAAAAAGAATATTATTATTACCAGAGGAAAAGAGGCGTTGTCGTGTCTTTTTCTCTTGAGTATTTTTTTTGTTTTGTTTTAAAATCATTTTAATTTTTCAAATTTAATGCGTAAAGGTTTAAAAAATATATTATTTTTATAAGAGGGGATAAAAGTATTTTTTAAGGATGATTAATAATAGAATTAAACCCACGATTAACTTAAATTTTTTTATATAAAATCATTATAATAGAATGACATAATTAAATGTATATCGTGAGATTATTAGCGTTAACAAATATTTAAAGATATCTAAAAATTATTAGATAAAATAATAAACAGTTTTTCTTGAAAACATTAACAAAACTAAATCAGAATTACAAAAGTTTAAACAGTTTACAATTTCTGCATCTCATTCCTCCCTCCTAATAACTGCATTTGATTCCATTGGAGCACCTTCAAATTATTGTCAGGAGGAGTTCATGAGTCGTGCATTTGGTTTATTATAATTAAAGAGTGTAAATCCAAACCAGCAATGATTTTAAAAGTTAAACAAAGAGCTCAGCATGATTGGATTTATTCAATTAATTAAATTGTGAGCCAAACCATGATTGAAATACGAGTCTATTTATACAGTGAAAGAATAACAATAATTACATTTGATATCATCTAAAATTCTAGTATTTTTTTTTTATTGCATCATGATTTATGCAACATATAATTTTTATTTACGAAAAAATTATTCTTTTACAATTTGATCTATCAAACATTCCTTTATTTGAACATATTTTAACTTTTAGTAATTAATTTACTAGAAGTGGGAGGGGAAAGCAAGGGAAAAAAAGAGCATGTTTAGGGTTCATAAATGGTAAGGTTTGTTTGGATGCATTAAAGAGATGATTGAAGGTTTGAGCGTTGGTAGCAGTGGCAGGTCAGCAATGTAATTGCCGTGATATTCGGTGGTGTTTGAGAATCTAAATCGGATCCACTAAGGTTAAGGTAATTACGTTGTTTTGTGTCTGCATGGAGGGTGCTTTCGTCAGTTCATAATGTGTACTCTCTCCACAGAAATCAACGATGGCATGCGGTCTTCTACATGGAAAGAAGGGTCTGCTACATGGCTCCACTTTTCACCTCTTAAGTCAAAGAAACTCAAAATTCAAGCAATGGTGTGTTTTTTTAAGAGTTTTTAAGGTTTAGGTATACGAAAAACTAAAAATAAAATAATATTAATAATTAATTACATGTATAACTGAATATGTTCACAATATTATAATTATTTTAGTATTTATTTAAATAAGCTCTTAAAAAAATAAGATAAATAATTTTGTTTAAATATTCAAAAGTTTTAACTTATTTTTTTAGAATTTCTTGTTTTACTATATTTGAGATAATGTCTCAAGTATCTAATTTCTTGTAAATAAATTATTGTTTATAAAAATAGCTGAAACATTAACTCACGTAGCCAAGGAGAATTATTAGTTTTTAGTTTTATATTATAAATTTATGAAGATAACAAAAATTAAGCAATAAAATCTCATAACTTTGTTACGATAATTTATAAAAATAAAAAGGCTCACAAAATATCTTCGAGAAAGCAAATCGTATATTTTCTTTGAGAAATGTATAGATAAATATTAAAAGTGATGTAGTGAAAGCATCTTATTTTGACTTGTTTGTTAACTCGAGGAAGATTGAATTCTACACAAATTCTCTACTACAATTATATATCTATCGACCTTAAAATTTTCCACAACTCTTTATCATATAATATTTTGGTTTTAAAATATATATTGTTCAAAGTTTTTTACATAAACATTAATTCGAAGTGTTTGTACAACTTTGACTTTTTATTTGTTGTTAAATCATTTCAAAGTATTATTTTGTTTTATATTTAAATGCCTATAATATTATCCAAATTTGTTGAAATATTAACCTTGTAATTAATATGATAGAATATGTATAATCACTCGTTTATAATAAAACTTTATATAATTAGTTAAATAATGTAAAGAATACAATGATTTGGTTTAATTTTGACCACTTTTATTAATGAGTTATTATAAATAATATCGGCTACGTGAAAAATACTTACACAACTTATTGCACACTATTATATTGACTAAAGAATTAACTATGCGAATTATATTTCGACTTTTTGACCTTTACGTGTCTTATTAATTTTTTATGTTCATTGAAACTTTAAAACTATATTATATTTTTATCTGACTAATGTCTTGGTTCATTTTATTTTCTATAATACGATGCATATTATTGAATTTATTTTTGAGATGAAATATTATATTAAATTACATTTAAATAATTTTTTTCATAAATTAAAAAAAAATTATAATGATAATTTTTTTATAAATTAAAATTAGCTTAGAGAAGTTATAAGAGAGAGTTTTTATAAATTAGTTTACGTATAAGTTAATTTTAATGGGAGGAATTTATTTAAATTTACTTATATTTTATCAATTATAGAAGTATTTAAGAGGAAGTTTCTCTAAATATATTCTTATTTAATTATGATTTTTTTTTATGTATTTACAGTGATAAGTAAAAGACTTGTTTTTGTTATAACTAATTAATGTTATTGAAAGAAAGATTGTTGAAATGTTTTATCTATTGGTTAATATTTTATAATTATTTACAATAAATTCTTTAAATTATTATTACCTTAAGTTGTTTATTATAATTTTTTGATATGATAATGAATCTTATATTATTTAGTAGTTAAAATTAAAAATAATTTATATATAACATTCTATTTTAACTCATCGAAACGAATTTTAAAACAAATAATAATTACAAATAATACTTCATACGTAACACTTTTGCTCTTAAAAAGAACAATATAAATTTTATATTTTCTCCTTTCCTGTTAACGAGATAATAAATAGCTTCAATTAAAAAAGGCAAAATGGTTTTAAAAACAAAACATTTAATTAGTTTGTTTAGAAACATGTGAAAGAAAAATCATAATAACAGTGGTGGGGATTTCAAGATTTGGAAGTTATGCAACTAACCAACGATAGATTATGTTCAAAACCTACCCTTTGATTGGATCATGTCGTAAATTGTCATTACATGCACAAGTCAAGGTGATAGATTTAAATAAACTCAACCTACACTCTATATTTTCCATTATTAAAGCCCCAAAAACTGCATATGCAACCTATGAATTAGGTTTTCTATAGGTGTGTGCCCCTATCTATCTCTTTCTCCGTACACTATATACAAATAAAACAAAACTAGGGTTAACCCACTTCATGTTACTTCAAGAAATGGGAACTATTTAATGCAACAAATGTTTCAAATATACATCATTCTAGTTCCGTGATCTATGAATATATGTATATATGCTTAACCCCCTAAGTAATAGTTTCAAAACTTCAAATGCACTTCAAGTGTGGCAATGCCATTTCCATGATGATGAAAACTATAGATCGATGATTAATTTCCTTATTCATCTTACCCTCTTTTATTTATTTTTTTGTTTTCTTTTGTAATTGCTTAAGGAAAAACTCACTAAGAAAGGGGGTGTATTTAACCATTTTTGTTGGGTTGTGATTTAATAGCCAAATGTACCTTGGCGTGAGATTGAGGGCATGGAAATAAATAAACTTTTTTCATTTTTTTCGGGTGTAGTTTTTTAGTAGGGTAATGAGGCATCAACATTATTACCTCACGGGACTAGAAATTTGGTCATACTTGTCAAAGATGTTTTGGTGAGTCTTTCCAAAACAAATTCAAACAAGTTTTGGTAGGTGTGCAATTTTTCTTTGGATTTTGGTAAGTGTAGGTAATGTTTGTGACAAATCCCATCATGCTTTTACCCTCTAATTAGTACAACATCGTGTACTTGTCCCCTTGTAGATGAAGATCTTAATTTCAGATTCATTTTGTTACGGTTACTGTTTATTCATGCATTCATTCCCAATGCAACAAAAATATACCCTTTTGTTCGCACATCGTTTTTTTTTTTTTTTTTTTTTCTAGTATCTAGTAAATAGCATTAAGGACTCTCATTTTGTTTTTCTAGAGGTGGATATAGTCATTCCTAGGGTGTCAATATCGGTTCTAACTCGTGAGTCAACCTGGCTCACCACGGGTTCGAACGGGATTGAGTTTGATTTTTTTTTTATTTCTACCGATTATGGGCTAAAAATGAACCCGGTTCACTTAACCCACGGGTTAAACGGGTTCAAACCGGGTTATGGTAGGTTAGTCCGCAACCCACCATTAATTTTAAATTTTAAAAATAATTATAATAACATACTAACCTTAATTAATCATTTATTTTAAATTTTTAAAATAATTATAATACTTTAGTAACCCTAATTGATGTTATCCTGTTTTACTTCTACCCTACATTGTTGATTGTCGTCACAAGTCAAACCCTCACTTAAACTTGTTATCAGTTGTTCGCTGTATCATTACGTTTGTCGCTGCACTTTAGTCAC